CTGCAAAGCTGAACAGAGAAGCAGAAGGTGGGTGTGCTTAAAAAAAAAAAAAAAAAGACAGCAGATGGATGACTCAAGGAGCCAGAGGGCTCCCATGACAGCATTACGAAAAATTTGTTTTTTAGACACTAATTAGATAGGATGTTAATAACTGATATGCTCCTCATTAAAAGTGTTCATGGCTAACTAAGTTAAGGAAAACCTGGGTTATTTAATTTTTTAATAGATTTCCTTCCTATACTGCTTGCAAAGCATTTCATAAGCTAATAATATATCATGTAGGTCTTGTCTCCAGGTTAAGTAAGCATTTACACTTCCATTTATTGTATAGTAGTTATCTCTATGTTTAACAGATTATCTCACTAAATGGGTATCTTCAGGAACAACTTTTCAGAAGGTCTGCTCTGTGAAATCAAAGCTATGGATAGTACAACACTTGAAAAGAAAGTGGCATATAATCAGGTAAGAACTTACTAAGGTAGAGGGTTTTCCTGAAAGTTCTCTTAGCTCTCAGAGTTATGAATCTTTAATTCTACTACAACACTTAAAAGAAAAAGTTTTGATTCTGCCTACAATGTAATTAGTACTCCAAGGACATAATGAAACCAATATCCCAAGAACACCTACTAGTATGTAACACAGATTTATACAGCATTCTAAGCAGGAAGAACCTTACAATCTATTTTGGAGAAACAATACACACACACACACACACACACACACACACACACACACACGAAGAAAGAGAGACAGACAGACAGACAGAGACAGAGACAGAGAAGGGAAGGAGAGGGAGACAGACATAACTTGGTTGAAGAGTATGGTTCTTCCTCACATACTGACAAGATATAGTTTCCATTGAAGGAACTAGAGCTACCAGCCAAGCCCCAAAAGACTAGAAATTTCCTTCATAGCAACAGAGTTACAAGATCAATGGTCCCAGTCTTCTCCTTGCTGAAACCAGTGCTCCTCAGAGCAACAACACTGAAACCATCTCTACTAGCCCAACAATTTTTTTAAAAATTTTTATTGTTTTATTATTCATACGTGCATACAATGCTTGGGTCATTTCTCCCCCCTGACCCCACACCCTCCCTTACCACCCACTCCGCCCCCTCCCTCTCCACCCCACCCCCTCAATACCAGCAGAAACTATTTTGCCCTTATCTCTAATTTTGTTGAAGAGAGAGTATAAGCAATAATAGGAAGGAACAAGGGTTTTTGCTAGTTGAGATAAGGATAGCTATACAGGGAATTGACTCGCATTGATTTCCTGTGCATGTGTGTTACCTTCTAGGTTAATTCTTTTTTATCTCACTTTTTCTCTAGTTCCTGGTCCCCTTCTCCTATTGGCCTCAGTTGCTTTTAAGGTATCTGCTTTAGTTTCTCTGCATTGAGGGCAACAAATGCTAGCTAATTTTTTAGGTGTCTTACCTATCCTTACACCTCCCTTGTGTGCTCTCGCTTTTATCATGTGCTCAAAGTCCAATCCCCTTGTTGTGTTTGCCCTTGATCTAATGTCCGCATATGAGGGAGAACATATGATTTTTGGTCTTTTGGGCCAGGCTAACCTCACTCAGAATGATGTTCTCCAATTCCATCCATTTACCAGCGAATGGTAACATTTCGTTCTTCTTCATTAGCCCATCAATTTAATAACAACAAATTCTTGATCTGGTCCTGATACATTCTTTCAGGATAAAAACTCCTAAAAGTTGATTTCCTGAAATGACAACCAACCTGCTTATATCTAGTATCAACCATTCAGAATTTCAACTAGTATAGACAAGTATGGATAAAGCATAATAAATAAGGAAGAGATACAGATTCACATGTAAAAACTGGCTGGTGCCAGGTGGTAAAAGACCTTGATTAGCAAGCTAATGTCAGAACATTACAGACATAATGAGGGGGCTGAGAGATACGTGAATGGGAAAACTTGGAGTGAAGGGATAAAAATATTATCATCACTGCTGAAAACAGTTCTAAAAAACTCTCCTTTGGACATACCTACAGGGTTCATCCCTCCCCACCAACACTTTTTACATAATTCAAATTGTAAGATATTTTTGTTACTTTTCTTTAGTTCATTTCTAAAGGTCTCTGGATAATTTTGTTCCCTTGAGTGAAATCACCATACTTTTAAGAGCTAAGGAAATTAGATCTGTAATTTCTAGCTTCATGATAAAGATATAAAAGAGAAGGTATAAACATAATTAAAACTGACAATGCTATATCAGGCAACTCACTTGAAATTCCAATGGAAAAGGAAATGGAAAGCAGAACTGTCAGCACACAATGTAACATTCCAGAGAATGTTTTACAAAACCAAAAATAATACATTGCTACAATCTTTTTAGAGAAGAAAAATGTTAAGGGCACATTAGGAAATGAGATTTTGGTTGATGTGACATAAACTGACACTTCATATCAACTAATTTGAGTTTTAAGGAAGATTTATATCATGGAGGAAAAACAAAAATAAAATAATTATGTGGTTTCAGGTAAAGTAAGTCTTCCCTCAAGAGCTTCCTCACAGTTGTTACAATACAGAATAACAATTCCTGAGAAGTTACATTAATATCAATTAAATTTTGAAGAGCAGTGAAATTCCACATCATAGAATGATGTCTATTCTATAGAAAATTAATATATGGAAAGTTGGCTCGTGGGATGTAAAACTTGCTGAGACACATAAAACAACTGTAACCGTAGCACTATCTGCTCAGCTTAAACATGGGCTTTTAATAAGATCTCTGTGACAAAAAGTCAAACCTATGTAAATTATTACAATAAAATTATAATATATATTGATTTCTGTAGTTGTCAAGGCTAAAAGTCACTATACAAACTATGTGGAAATCTGTGGCATAATTTTAAAGTATGATGTCTGGTCATCATTACTATCTCTTTTTAAAAAAATTTTTTATTTTGTGCTGGTTGGGGTACACTGTGGCATTTACTAAAGTTCTTACAATGTATCAAATATATCATGCTTGAATAATCTAAAATGAATTAGATTCCACAAAAACACTTTTGTGGAATCTAATATATGTATATGTACCACTACATATATGTACATGTTCAACTATACAAATACATGAAAGAGTAATTTATTTAGTTTTGTAGGGAGCTCACAAGACATAATAAAGTGCTCAAGATCCCTTAACTAATCTAAGAATACTAAAATTTGAGTGAAAGAATTTTATCAGCTTGTAGAAAAGTAATGATACATGCTGATGAGAAATGTGCTAGCTATCAGAATCTTTTTAAAAAAAAATCTAAATGACATATGAATTGTACCCTAATACCAGCTGGCTTTGAGGGCCACAAGAACATCCTATGCAGTAAGGCATGTTATGAATACAAAAGACCTATTTTAGTGAGACCTATTCTAGTGAGCTAAAAATTTCAGGAAATCCAAGATTCAGAATGTGTTCCAAGGCAAAAAAGGTTCAGGAGACCCACCAGTGGTGAGAGAAAAAAACAATTTACACTCCTCTTTCCCTCTCCCAAGATTAACTATATATAGCAATCTGTTTGTACTGTGTGCTTCATGACTTTCCCCTTTCAAAGTATGCAACTATAATAAGCTGTAGAGTAGGAAATGAAAAAGTGGCAACAATAAGCCATGTGACTTGAATCTATGAGATAAGACTCCACTGGGGGGAGGGGGGAGTAATACAGAGGTACTAGAAAAAGGAAGGGGGTAGGCAAAAAGAAAACAGAAATATCAGAGAGGAAATTCCCGTATCTATTTCACGGTAGTAAAAAATCACTTGAATATTTACATCATTCTAGGCTCTACGATGGCAGAAGTTACGTAATCCTGCCACTTAGAAATAATACTGTGTAGTAGAAAGCAGCCTGTGCTTAGACTTTGACATTATCCACACAGACTACAGGAGTGGGGGAGAGAGAAAGGTCAACAGCTGTGTACAGACAATCTGTTTTTCCTCTTTCACTGTAAAATCACGATGTCCAGCATCCTTAACTGCATTATCTTAACTATTTTTTAAAAAAGAAATGCTAGTCCATGAAAGGACCCCATCTCTATCACTCTGTAAGCAACAGATTGCAGAAAGAATGGCTTAACCATCATTTTAGTCCCTAAGGCCCCCAGCACTGCGTCACAGCTGACAATAGCAGTAAATGTGCAGAGAACTGAGTCTTCTCTCACAGCATCCCTGTCTCTTAATCCTTCTTTCTAGGGCTTCTTATTTTCCTGCCTCAGTTCTCATTTCTTCCTGTAGCTTGCACTCCACTGTCTCTGTGGTTAACTGATAATTCAGACAATGTGAAATAATATTATGCTGTATTTATTGGAACAGAATTTTAGGTTTATGTTTTTAATTGGAAAAAAAATGTTAGGAACACTATCATCTCTCTAGAATTCTTTACAAATTAAATTATGGGTTTTTAGCCTTCAACAGAAAAAAAGTTCCATAACCTTAAGTTAAAGATGTAGTGATACATGCTCTTTTAAAGTAAAAAATTTAAACTTGGTACAGTGGCTCACACTGTGTTCTCAGCTACTCGGGAGGCAGAGATCAGGAGGATTGTGGTTCAAGGCCAAGTCAGGCAAAAAGTCAGCAAGACTCTGTCTCAATCAAGAAAACAGGTGTGGTGGTGTGTACCTGTCATCCCAGCTATGTGGGAGGCATAGGTAGTAGGATTGCAACCTGAGGACAGCCGGGCAAAAAGTGAAACCCTACCTAAAAAAAACAACCTAAAAGCAAAAAAAGGCTGGGGGCATGGGTCAAGTGGCACACTGCTTGCCTAGCAAATGTCAGGCCCTGAGTTCAAACCCTAGTACCACTAAAAATAAATAAATAATTTAGAAGGTTTATTTGTGCCATACTTTTTTTTGCTATTAAATAGAGCCAGAAGCGAAAAATTTCCATAGTTGGCTCTAAAAAGTAACACAGAACTATCCTAGTTTCTATATAAGTACACTTCCAAAACAGAAAACTAGCTTTCAATGGGAGAAAGCCACATACTTTTCATAGTTCCGTCTTCTTCTTCCTCATCCTCGCTGTTTATAACCATGGTCCCCAAGTCAGATTCTAGCATTGTGCTGCTATGTTCAATCATGGTCTGGGCCCCTTCACTCATTGTGCTTGTGGCCCGCATTGTGCCCACGCTTTCTGAACTGGTCTTTACCATGGTGTGTGAATCTAGCTCGTCTTCATCCTGCAAGCAAAATACCACAGTGAAGAAAGATTACTTTGACAGCTGGATTTCTTGTCTGAGCAAGAGTAAGCATGTATTTTTAATAATGCTAAAAATACTATTACTATAAATTAAATATAAGCACATATACACAAATGTTACCATAAGAGCCAAAATTATGCAAAATAATCTAAAGCCTTAGGTAATTAAAACTCAAGCAACAGAAACTGATAAAATAGAAGGCTGCTAGTTGCTTCTGCAATAAGAATTCAGTCATAAATTATCAACAAACACCTAACAGAATATAGTGATAAAACAAAAATGCAAAACAGTACTTTTTAAAGATAGAACATGTTGGCACTTTCTTTTATAACAAACATAATAATGTTTAGAACTTCTATAACAGTATTAGCTTTTTCTCTTAAATTGTTATTAAATATACATAACATAAAATTTTTACCATTTTAACCATCTTTAAGTATACAGTTCTGTGACATTAAGAATAGTCAGTGCTGGACCAGACAATATGGCTCAAGTCACCCTGAGTATAAATGTTTTATCAGATATATGATTAACAAATATTTTCTCCCATTTTGTTTCACACTCTCCTATTCCTTTTCACTTTTGATGCACAAAGGGAATTCATTTCAATGAAGTATAATTTAGATCTTTTTCTTTTTTTGCCTATGTTTTTGTTGTCTAGCATTAGCATTTAAATATTTCAAGTTCACAAAAATAACAAGTCACAAATGTAAGTATGGATGAAAAAGTCCTTAGAACATTGATCAAAAGATATACTGGAATAGGATCAAAAAAAATAAATTAACAAGGCTCCACCTCCTCTCAGGAGGTAGAGATCAGGGGGATCACAGTTTTTGCCAGCTTGTGCAAAAAAGTTCATGAGACCTCAATTCAACCAATGGGCTGGGCATGGTGCACACCTGTCATCCCAACTATGCAAGGAAGCACAAATAGGATCATGGTCCAGGCCTACCTGGGCATAAAACAAGAACCTATCTCAAAAATAACCAACACTAAAAGTGCTGGCAGTGTGGCTCAAGTGCCTAGCAAATGTGAGACCTAGAGTTCAATCACCAGCAGTGCAAAAAATTAAATAAATAAATAAACGATTTAAAACAAATCCTACTTGAGAGATGAAAACTATGCAATTTGTAAAAACCTGATCATACACTGAAACATACAAGCAAAATCTAGTTCTGGAAGAGGTCAAAACATGCAAATATGGAGAACAGAAACATCAATGTTGCATCTCAGCATCCTAGATAACTTGAAATAACAGTGGTTCAATGGCTGCTTGACATCCCAACTCTTCCTAAACCTTCCATCAGTTTGGTCTTTAAAGCTCAAAAGTTGTTTTTCTTTCATGGTCCTCCCTCTTATAGAAGATGTGTTTATTCATGTGCTTTCAACTATTTATTAGTCTTTACTAAATGCTTAATAACATCTAAAAGTCAGCATTTCCAAACCATAGATTATTTCATCTGCTTTTCTAGTACCTCCTGTCTGCCTCGGTTTACAAAAACCACCACCACAAAGCAAAGTAATCTTCACTAGTTTCCCAAGAATAACACTTCAACATCTTCTTATATTTATCCTCTCTATTCCCTGTATACAACCAGTAAACAAAAAAATTCTCTTTCAGTTTCATGTTTTCTTTTCCATTCCTACTACTACTGAGTATATTCCTTGTTGTCTGTAACTGGGTAATTGAAGATACACCTCCTGACCAAAGACTTTCCAATCAAACCTCTAGAACTAAGCAGATGTTAGCTTAAATTCTGTCTCAGATCACTTATTAGGCAAAAGACTTTTACGTAAACATTTAAACTCTCTGACGTTTCTTCCTTGGTGTTATGAGGAAGTGAGAAAAGATATGCAAAATGTCTACATGCTACCTCGAACCAGATAATTTCACACCTTCCTCAAAGTATACAACACTATACTTATCTTTCTTGAATAGTATTTGTATTATAATATGCTTCTTCTGAAGAATATATGACTCCCAATTTCACCTACATTAAAAAGCTAAATCTTTCTACCTAAATTTTAATGTGCTTTATGGTCTTGCTTCATTCTGTCTCACCAACCCTATTTTCCCATTGATCATATATTCTCCAATACAGGCAGACTGACCTTAATTGAAGCTTTCTTCATAATAAACCCATGTCTACTATGCTTATTAAGACTTCTTCTCTACCCAGAATGTTCTTCCTTCTATCCATTTAACTACATTCTCCCAATTAAGTACCTTTCACCTCCATGACTAATTTAGCTTTCGTTATAAGCCTATCTTATTTACCAAACTTCTGTAGTAGAATTTACAAACTGCACCACATACTTTTGCATTTAAATTTATGATTTCATATTCTGAGCACTTGCTTTACATAATATTTTATAAATATAAAGTACCTTATAGATAAGAATGTCTTATAGTACTATTGAATCTACTAAAATGTTTCATTCTGAATTCAAAACATAGTAAGCATTCACTAAACAGGGAATTCTCAAAGTAATAAGTACAAATGGCCAGTACATGAAGAAGTGTTCAACTTTCCTGGCTATAAAAGAGATGCAAATAAAAACTACACTAAGATTTCATCTCACCCCAGTTAGAATGGCCATGTTCAAGGGCAATGACAGTAACAAATGAGGGCAAGGATATGGTGAAACAGGAATCCTTTTACAGTGTTGGTGGGAATGCAAATTAGTACAACCATTAAGGAAAGCAGTTACAGAGATTCCTCAAAAAGCTAAAGCTAGAACTCCATATGATCCAGTGATACTGCTCCTGGGCATCTTCCCAGAGGAATATATGTCAGGGTACAGTAGAGACACCTGTACACATATGTTCATTGCAGCGCTATTCACAATAGCCAAGCTATGGAAACCACCTAGATGCTGTATGACTGAAGAATGGATCAAGAAAATGTGATACACACACACACACACACACACACACACACACACACACACACAATGGAGTTTTATTCAGCCATAAGGAATAATGACATGTGGTTTGAAGGTAAATGGACACAATTGGAGGACATCAGGTTAAGTGAAGTAAGCCAGGCTCAGAAAAACAAAGGTGGCATGTTTTCTCTCATTTGTGGAAGGTAAGTCCAAAAGATAAACATGTACACAAAAACAAACATGATCATATACAAACTTATATGTAGAACATGTTTATAATGTGGAACGACTCTATGGAGCTTGGGGAAGGAGGGAAAGGAAAAGAGAGTGATAGAGGATCAACAATATCATAAAACATAACATCTGTGAAGGTAGAAGACTAAGGATGTGTATTGAAAGCTGTTAAAAATAGGGGTTGGGAGGTAAAAGTTAAGGGAGAGTAATGGAAGGGGTTGAACAGACCAAAGCAAAGTATACACATAGTGGAGACCACTGAGAAACCCCTTTGAACATCCACTTAGATATTAATAATGAAAGACAGGACTGTAAAACAGGTATGGTGTATGTGTGTGTGGGAGTGCTTGTGGGAGGGGAAGGGGGAATGAAGGAGATTAAGGTGAGGGAATATGGTTGATGGACTTCATATACTTACATGAAATAGAACAAAGAAACCTCTTGTAACAGTTTTAAGTGGGGCAGAGAGGGTGCTGAGGGGGAGAGATGGTGGGAGCGATCTAACCAATGTACAATATAAGCCTATTTGGAATTGTCACAATGAATCCCCCCTGTACAACGAATATATCCTAACTAAAAATTTTATTTTTAAAACACAGTAAGCATTCAATATATATTTACTTTTTCACAGAATAATAAAAGCACAGACCTTTCTAGTAGAAGAGAATCTAATATCCAATTGAATGCTTCATTTAATATCTAGGAAAATGGAGGCCCATAGAAAGTATGAAACTTCCCTAAGGACACATACCTATTTAAAATAGGGCAGACACTAAAACACAAGAACTTTTATTTCTCCCACCACTCTCCTGCTTTTCTTGGTGGTACTAGGGATTGAACTCGGACCTTCCACTTGAACCGCATCTACTCCTTTTGCTTTTTTAGTTGCTTTTCAAAAAGGCTCTTGCATTTACGGTTATGCAGCCTGGGACTGTGATCCTCCTCCCTTGACCTTATGAGTAACTGGGATCACAGGTGTGCACATCACTCTTAGTATGTTTTTCAGATATGGTCTTGCTAACTTTATGCTCAGATTGGCCTTGAACTACAATCCTCCTTTCTCGGCCTCCAGAGTAGCTCACATTCATAGATATGCTCTACCTCCCCTGGCCCACAAATTCATTTATTTCTTAGCCCATTATCCTACCACATGTACTCTATTTACATTTAAATTTTTTACCTCCTTTAATGCTTAATTTAGAGATGGAGGCTTATGATGTTAACAGCTTATTTTATCAGTTCCTATTCACAGAGTCCTATACAAATTATTCAGTCCATCCTACTCCAAGCCACCAGCTTCTCTCGCTTAAGACTATTAAAACAGCTTTCTGTTTTCACTATTTCCATTCTTGCTTCTTTTAGTCTCACACACAACAGGCAGATTGAGCCTTTCAAAAGACATATCACATCACATTATTCTCATCCTGCAAACTCTGCATTTGGCCTCTCATCATACTTAGAATAAAATCCAAAATCTTTATCATGGCCAAATGTGATTTGGCTTTATTAACATCTGCCAATCCCATCTCCTATCACATTCCCTCCTGCTCAACAAACCTAGCCATGTTGGCCGCCTTTGCCGTTTTCTGAGTATTTTAAGCATGTTCCTCTTTGAGTCTTTAAAATTGGCTGATCTTTCAGACTGGAATGCTCTTTTACAAGACAGTTCATCATTTATTTACCTGAAATCCCTACTTATATGTCACCTCCTCAGTGAGGCCTTTACTGACCACCAATTTGAAGTGAAGCCTCCGTCATTCTCAAGTCTTTTATCCTTCTGTATTCTTCACAGCCTACACCTGGCCTTCTTTCCTACTACAGTGTAAGTTTGATGAAGGCAAGAGACTTCTTTTTAA